TTAGCTCCTTACCTTACAAAGGACATTGAACTGTTGGAAAGGGTTCAGAAGAGGGCTACTAGGATGATACCTGGGGTGGAAAGACTGTCATACAAGAATAGGAATTGTTTTATATTCAAGAAAGAAGAGATAGAGGGGGATCTGAGTGAGGTTTTTAAGATTGTAAAAAGAATTGATGGTATTGATGCATCATCTTTTTTGGTACTTAATGGTGAAAATGGTAAAATTAGGGTTTCAAAAATATACATTTTCGCACGGTAAGAACCATCTTTAGCTAAAACAGCTTTATTTTTATAAAAGGGTGGTTGGCCTTTGGTATGAGTTACTTTCGGATATGGTAGATGCAGTTAACTTAAGGGAGATTAAAAAAAAGTTTGATAAATATTTGAATAATAAGGGTTAACATTGAGTATTTTACTTTTATTTTAAAGTTTAGTATAGTGGATGGAACGGCCTAGATAGACCAACAAGTACGTTGTTGGCCTTAATTTTTATATTTGTATGTCAGATAATTCACATGTCATAAATTTAGGTCTACAAAAGCCACAAGCGGTGTTCAGAAGCTTCCTCCACAGTACATAGTCGAAAAAAAGGAATACTATCGAAAGTTATATGAGAAAAATCAGACCTCTGCTCATATATGGAAGTAGATCATTACATAGAAGAATATCAGTGAAGGACTAAGCATTCATTCATCTTTGTATAGACCATGACTTATGTAGTTCATCTTCAATTCTGCAAACATCCAGAAGGTTTCTGTTTTGACATGTTAAATAGTATTTACATTCTGTGTACCAAACCCAGAAACCACAGAAATTCTAAATTCAGTGGATGGTTTGTCACCCATATAATATCAATAAATGGAGGTCATATATATTATTTTGAGCGAATTTTATAAATCCCCACTACCCGCACAATGGCGGCTTGTCTAAGTGTCGATTCGGTTTACCACGAAACTCTTTTAGAATTTTGATCAATAACTAACTGGTCTTGTTGCTTAGATAAGACGTATGAAACTAAGGACTATCGAATATATGTTGGAAAAGTTGTTTACAAACTTTCTTGTAAACAGTAGTTTCAATATTTTTTCCTTCAAGAACAACAGTTTTTAACTGATCGCATGACCGTTGAGCTACGTAAAGCTGAGCAGGTGAGAAAAAATTGGTTCAGCCAAGTGCAACCCCAACGGACGGATATTTGTTTTCCAAAATTATATTATTGTAAGATTTTCATTTTATTTTCTGTAACAGGCCTTGAACGATATATCCGCATAACCATGGCGTGGCACGCTAACCACTGAGCCTCGCTCAGCCCTCAAACCACCAGAGAGTTCTATACTTAGTAGCACCGTGGCAGACAACAAAAGTCAATTCTACAGTGGGTATTTATCATTACTACGTTTTACATGTTATCTAGGAATATGATATGAATTGCGTGAGGCTAAGCGTGTTCCCGTGGTTAGCAATCCCATGGATTGGATAGTCCAAGGTTTAAGCCACGATATGCAGCCGAGGGGCGTTATAACAGTGATAGTCATTCCCGTTATTCGATTAAAACTAGCCATGTAGGCAGATAGTGCTGCTGGCTGCACTCCCTGCGTACAGCAGATCTCTTAACATGGAGATGGCTATGCCTGAACATTGTGGACTCTGACCTGCCCATAAAGTGTCAGTTAAGTTGAAAATCCCAAAACTGTCTGATTATATTAGAAGAGTACTTTTACAAAGCTCCTTTACTAAGTTGCAGATACAAATCAGTGATTTTCGCAAAGAAACGTTTTTATTACAGATGTGCTTTCTGTCACATATTTTCTAACATAAAAAAGTCTTAAAAAGGTGAAAATTTACAAGGTATTTATTCCCTGTGTTTCATATTCATTACACACAAAGAATATGTTCGGATTGCTACGTATTTAAATTTACAAGGTGTTTATTGCCTGTGTTTCATATTCATTACACACAAAGAATGTGTTCGGATTGCTACGGTAATTATTTAAAACAACAATTAGAAATTTATGCTCTCTTTTCGGTTTTAATACGAAACATGGTTGTAAAATAGTCCACAATACCCAGATTCAATAATAAGATTGTTTAAAGTGAAGTACAGAAGATGTTTAGGCTAAGGTTCACATTATTTGTTAATAGTTTTTCGTCACACTTTCTACAAGAAAATTGAAGATTTGTATTTTCCGAAAAACAACTAAGGCTATCTGTTGCCGTACCAGATGAAGGTCAGCAAATCAGCAGCACCTTTCAACTCACTTTCACGCTAAGAGATTGATTGTTACTCTTATAACACACCCACAGCTTAAAATAAGATTTTTTTGTGATAACGTATGAATTCGAACCTAGCTTTCCAACTCCAAAATTCAAAGCCTTACCACAAAGTCAACTTCTAGAAGAAAAGATTTAATGTTTGGTCATTTTTGATATTATGTTTACTTAGTTTGTTTCGAATGTCCGCGCAAGTTTACACAAGGGTTATCTGCGCTACCCATCCCTAATGTGGAACTCTTAAACTAGAGGGAAGGTAGTCACTCAACAACACCCATCTCCAACGCTTGAACTAGTCTTCTTCGATAGAGAGATTTGACTGTCACTCTTATAATGTCCCCATGGCCTCAAAGTGCAGAATGCAATTTTGCGTCAACGGGTCAAGAATTATGAATCATAGAATTCACAATGCGGCCAAAACAACTTTTATTAAGTTTAAATTCGCCTGTGTAATTTTAATATCAGGCCTAAAACATTTACTTCGGTTCTTTTTTATCTGACTCAGCTACGTCACAGTTTTATGGCCTTATCATAATACTGATATATAATATAAGTTAATTGCTTATTATTATTATTATACTATGTTACCTAAAAGTATAACCATGTAAAAACGAAAAAGTAGAGATAGAACATCTAAAAAAAAGGAATAATTGTTAGAGAAGACAATAAAAGGATTCATGTATTATTACCATTCTTCAGACTTACCACAATTTAAAATTCGATGACGAGGAACCCACTTTGAGACTAATAACGCTTGGAGACAGCTCGAATGGGTAAGGAAGAAAAACTGATGATGACAGAACCTTGTCGAAACGTTGTACATTTGCTGTTATGTTAAACATATATTAAAGTTTTTCTTCATTACCTATTCAAGCCGTCTCCAAGTATTATTACCACAAATTAACTACAGAGCCAAGTAACATATCCTAGAAACTAGGGCAATTCTGAGTGACAGGTAGCACGCTTACTAGGCGTGGTCAAGCCATAGACCCAGCCTACTTAGGGGCGGGGTTAGTGACAGATGGATGAAGTAGATGGCTAATACAGACATTCTGGATGACGTCACATTTGCCAATATGACTAGGTGCATCCATATTCCATAACTAATTATTAATTATCCTATACTAATCATCTATGTCCATTAATTACTCCCCCAGTAAATAGACCAATTAAAGTATATTTAATAATTACCCTAGGATAATAGCCTTATTAACAATACATATTAATTTTTCATGCTTACCCCCTCGGGCTGTACAGCATCTTCAGACATGTCTCAATACCATTCTTTAGTCAACAGAAGATCTCCAGAAATGTTTCACAATTAGTCTCAGATACCTGACCAATCAGGATCAAGTTTTGACATTTCTTATGAACCAATTATCTGCCTTTGCAGGTATTGGTGGAAAGACCCTTCGGTGACTGTCGAACGAGTAAAGTTTAAAGTCTTATCGTCATGTCAAGTCATTGTTCTTTGGTATGATAATCCAGCTTTTGTTATATTTAGTGTCAGTTCAAAAGCAGTGGTACTTTGGATAGACAGCGATCATCAAAGCACATAGACAAAGAAGGTGTTACAAAAGGCAGTTACAAAACTCAGTCTGTAGTTTAACATTTAGTTTTACAGGTCCTACCTGAGGAAACTTGAACAAAAGCAAGAACAAACATTTTCGAGCTTCTACTTATTTGTTTGTTTGTGGTTAAGCACAAAGTTACACAATAGGCTATCTGTGCTATGCCCATCACGGGTACCAAAACCTGTTTTTTTTAGCATTATAAGCTGGCTGAGTTACTGCTGAGTACGAATTTGTATCTAAGGAAAATGCACTGAGCAAAGCTAAACGCTTAGTTTACAAATAATTTGTATCAAATATTAGAGAAAAAACAACAACTTAGAGAAGAATGTGTAGAAAGATTAACATTCTATCAGAAACTCAAACATGATCCTATCCACTAACTGGTTACACAAACCAAACCAATATCAACAGATGAAAATGATAAACTGCAGAGAAAACATTTGCTGAATCGTTTCTTTGAGAAACAATAGATTAATGACAATGCACTGATTAATTACAAAATAAAATAAGCTTACAAATACTCTTACAAAATACCAAGTTAAATGTGTATATACCAATAGCCACTAAAAAAAATACAAATTGGTATATCAGTTTATGTGCATGTACAAACTCATAATGGAGTTGTATAAACAAACTTTGTAAGGTGTCAATTCTAATATAAGAATTTTTTTTTATCCTCGCCGATTTTTTAATGAAAATTATAGTTACTCTTTTTAGATATAGATGTCAAACAACAAATACACTCAAAATAATGGTAACCTACACAGGCGCCGACTTTTTTACCCTGGGGGGGGGGCATAATTGGCATGTGAAAAGTTTGTTAGGCCTACATATTATGTACTTTCCCGTGGGACCTGGACCCCCACATACCCGGTGCCTCTGGTATCCTGTGAAAGTATAAACATAGCAGATGGTTCACACACACAAATAACACAATATAATGGTCTTTAGACGAACACTAAGTATAATGCCAACGTAAATTATAATAAACGCTATCTGCTTAGTCATTTTCTATACTGATTTTAATCAAACATTTACAAAGACAATTCTTGCACAACATAATTAACTAAACATGTTATTTTTGTACAGAATATCATACATGTATATATATATATATATATATATTTATATATATTGGCTTAAGTTTACTAAAAATTAATTATTATTATAAACTCTATCTGCTTAGTCATTTTTTATATTGATTTTAATCAAACATTTACAAAGACAATTTTTGCACAACATAATTAGCTAAACACGTTATTTTTGACAGAATATCATACATGTATATATATATATATATATATTGGCTTAAGTATACTAAAAATTAATTATTATTATAAAGTCTATCTGCTTAGTAATTTTTTATATTGATTTTAATCAAACATTTACAAAGACAATTCTTGCACAACATAATTAACTAAACACGTTATTTTTGACAGAATATCATACATATATATATTGGTGTAGTACAAATTAAGATATTGATATAAAATTTCGGTGAAAACTTTCATTCATGAACCTTTCTAATCATTTCATATTGCATTTTAACATAAAACGATACTCAAACACCTAAAATACATAAACTCTTCACCTGCTGTACTCCACATATTACAAAACTTAATTGTTTTCTGAATTTGCACGATTAACCTAAACTACAGAGATAAAGAATAACAAAGTTTTGCCACTTTTCTGTGCCGCTCGATTTTAAGAATTCAGTTACACCAGTTTGTGTCCCGAGTTTTCAACCAGAGTCACATCAGTAATGGTTTCCAAATTTGAATTAATCTGTAAAATAAATATTTTGAATTAACGACACTACTAAACAGAAACACTTGACAACAGCTAACTATAACCGACCCTCTCCCTAAAAGAAAAACGACACAGGTATGTACCAAAATAATATGCTTGTTATCTACCTCCGAAAGTAAAATGAGCATGATAAATTAATTTCTTCAACATAAGATTCGACCAAAATATTCAAGGATCAAGTTCTTGATTTTACGGTGTGTGCGTTAGGTTCCAGATGCAGCTACCATGAACTGTTTTTCCATGTTGCTTGTCTATCAAACTACACAATTAAGTCCACATTCGGAAATTACTTTGTTTCTACTGTTAGATTTCAACTTTTAAATTAACTTATACTTATTTTCATACAGGTATATTTTATCTTTCCGAGTTTAATTCTTACATTTTCTAGCTTTTAAACTAATGTACAACGTATCATAATATAAAACCATTGTTATAAACTACCTTTCTTACCAGAAGATTTCCTTGACATCACATATACTTTATCTAGTTAAGAGATGCTTAACCCCATACTTTGAACCTTTAATGTCAAGAACTAAATACCTCATTCAAAAATGGCGCTTAAATTATTTAATATGTATTTTTTTCGGATTCTCGCCATGATAAACAAAATGATGTACGCATAAAATGTTACTATATTACATGGTGTCTGTTACGAATTACACTATATTACATGTGTCTATTACAGTCTACACTATACTACATAGTGCCTGTTACCAACTAGACTATATTACATGGTGTCTGTTACGTGTCTATTACAGACTAAACTATACTACATGGTGTCTATTACAGTCTAAACTATACTACATAGTGCCTATTACCAACTAGACTATATTACATGGTGTCTGTTACGTGTCTATTACAGACTAAACTATACTACATGGTGTCTATTACAGTCTAAACTATACTACATAGTGCCTATTACCAACTAAACTATATTACACGTGTCTATTACAGTCTAAACTATACTACATAGCGCCTATTACCAACGAGACTATATTACATGGTGTCTATTACCAACTAAACTATATTACATGGTGTCTATTACCAACGAGACTATATTACATGGTGTCTATTATCAACGAGACTATATTACATGGTGTCTATTACCAACTAAACTATATTACATGGTGTCTATTACCAACTAAACTACATTACTTGGTGTCTGTTACGAATTACACTATATTACGTGTCTATTACAGACTAAACTATACTACATGGTGTCTATTACCAACTAAACTATATTATATGGTGTCTGTTACGAATTACACTATATTACGTGTCTATTACAGACTAAACTGTACTACATGGTGTCTATTGCCAACTAAACTATATTACATGGTGTCTATTACCAACTAAACTATATTACATGATGTCTGTTACAAACTAAATTACATTACATGGTATCTGTTACAGACTAAACTATATTACATGGTGTCTGTTACAAACTAATATAACCATCCCAAAAGTCACCATCAATCATACAGTAACAAATACTTTTATCAGAACAGTACAGCGTTCTTACGTGTATTATTTAGTAATCCCATGGTCATTTAATTTAAAAGTAATATTCATTAATATAATTCGTTATTTTTATAAGCGGGATTCAGATACACATTGGTCCAGTTAGTAAATGCATCCTGAAATTCATAAAATTATATAACTCACAGCAAGTTCGATAAATACAGTAAAAGTGAAAAATAAAAGGTACAACTTCAGAATAAATCCTCTAACCGTCTTTTTAGGTTGCCAGCTTTTTTGTTTTTAATTTTCTATAATTTAACGTATTTGTTACAAGATGCACCTGCTACACTGTTTCATTTACGTATTCCATTTGGCCTTAGTTTGACAAGACGTTTTACTGATTATCTGTCAAATAACAACTGCTTTCATAAAAACACGTGACATCAATTTGGAAAACAATTTACTCGTTTTTGACGAGATCGAAACAGGTATTTGATTGTACGAAAGACAGCTAAGATAATAATACTAGGCACCTAGTGAATTATAAATACTACTTGTTTAATATACATCTAGAAGGAAAAACTCGTGTTTCACGCACGAAACATTCTGTTGATTGTAGTATTTTGTATCTGAATGCTCAGAGTAATTAAAACAGTTAAGTGACCTGTCTATACTACTTAAGAATGAAGATGGGTACGTAGAGTTGTGAAAGAATCTGATGGCGTCTCAGTGACTGCGAGGTTAAACCTAAATGGGTTAAACTTAACACATAACACATGCTACCACCAAACACCTTTAGTACAAAAGGCACTTCGAGCTGAATGGCCTGATCAAATAAGACAAACCGATCGACTTATCTAGTAGGAGACACAAAATTTAGTGACTCTTTAAAAACCTGGGTATCGGGGACAAGTATTGAAACTCGGTGATATTGCTCACAGATCCCTACTAAGCAGTATCGGTACTATAAGTGTCTATAAACAAATGAAAAGAATTATACACAAAACCTTAACACATAAACACTGCTGTCTTAGATGGGGTTCTGAGGATAACAGATCCATTCCCCAAATACCTTCTCCTTTGAAGTGCACAGTACTATATACACCCACCACCCTTCACTATTAATTTTTGCATAGTTTAAAGAAGTTTAAAAACTTCCCACCCACGTTATTCTTTAAATTACATAAATTATGTATCTATATATATTTTTTTTCATGAATAACGAATAACACACCTTTCACAGGGAAGTTTAACAGCTGTCTTCTATCTTAACCCCTCATCAGACAGAAACTACAGAAAATTTGGACTAGATGATTTGAAACCTGACTTATTTCTGTCTTCATAAACTGTTAACAAATGTACTTTTCTTAAAATTGATATTTGCACTAATGATATAATGCTCACAATTATTTGAAATCCATTTACAAGTCAAAAGTTAAGTTTTCTGAATTAACTTTTTATATTTATTTGGAATTCTTATATGAAAGAGATCATGTTTTGACATTTTCACTGACAATAAGAATAATTTCTGCTTGAGCAAATAAAAAAGCAGTAAAAATAAGAACTGGCGTATAGAAACTGAGAGAACTGTAAGAAAGACAAAAAATAACTATTAATTATGAATTTATGGTTCAAGTTGACATGATTGATTTACTACTTGCTAAGCGTTTGAATTAATTACCTTAATATAGATGTAATTTTTGTTTGTATTAATAAAATTATATCCTTTCATTGGCGAAAAGTATTTTAATGCCGTCGAGGTTTTGATTTAGCCACAGCATAGTAATTCTGTTCACTTTTCAGTGTGTAGACTGTAATATACATAGTAGCTTACTATGACCAGGTGAAAACTAAATTTTAGTACTAAACACGCATGCACTAACATACTAATATAATTTAATTATCTAAACAACTAACGTGAAACAATAATGAGCACTTTAATTTTTTTCCTTAAAGGTTTTCTTTCGTGAAAGTTAGAAATTGTATGTTTCTTTAACTATATTATAGCATAAATGTACAATAATCGTAATAATATTTTATAAATATAAATAAATATACCTTATCGTCGATCCTATCTGACTTTTGCAGTTTCTGTTCAATACATGAGGGGCGCTTAGTATTAGGTAGACAAACCAGAATAATATGCTGGTCATTACTTACTGCTTAGGATATCAGCACAGTGGGGCAGAGAATCTGTTGTGTCCCAGCTTGGAATCTGCATTATAAACTGGTAATTTGGATTAATGTTATAAGTCGACCAACAACACAGTTTCTCCAGTTCAAGGTTATCAGCGTCTTCCAAATTTGTCTTGGGTGGAATAGAGAGTAACATTTCAGTAGAATTGTTACATGGCGTTTCTTTTCCCGTGGTGTCCACCTGACGAAATTTGACCATCTTATCAACTTTCAAAATGACTGGTCGCTTTCTTTTCATTTCAACACTCTTAGGCTTCGCACATAACTTTATTTTCCTTTTGATTTCTAAAGAAATATAAGTCGCATAGTAACAGTTTTAAATCGGACTAGAATATGGAAAAAAAAACCTAAAAGTAAAAATAGCTGAAATTGTTCATGTAAACTATATTTTCTGAACAACTTTAAAAGAGTAGGGTTACCAAACATTTGTTTGAGAAAATATTCTGTATAGTCAGTTATTTTCTGTCTGCTTGGTTCAGCTGGACGCCAAACATTTCGGGATTGAAGATAATTTTTCAAGTGTCACTTTCAAGAAACAATCACATGGCGGGCACTCACGATACGCAAACAATCAAGTTTCAATTTTTAAGCACAAATAATAATTATAATTGTATATTTCAACAATTTTTAGCTCAAAAATATTTTGTCATTTTGTAACAGTTATTTAGTGTAATTTGCAAAGAAAAAATTAAAGACATTTTCAAACTTTCATTTCTTCAAACTCCGAGGAACATCGCCTGTAAATCACGCACTTATCGATATTTTGATAATTTTTCTGCATATCCTAACGTATAAGCTTATATTTGCTAAGGAACTGTTATCCCGTCACAATATAATTAATTATCCATGTGCTGTTTCTGACATGAATTTCCTCCTCTATGACTAGAGTTATGGAGTGTGTGTTTTGTTATAGCAAAGACACATTGGGTTATCTGCTGTGTTCACCGAGGAGAATCGAACCCCTGAGTGTAGCGTTATAAATCCGAAGACTTACATCTGTCCCACCACGGGACGTACGCACGGATATACTAATTTAAAGAAAATTGTTTGTTGAATTTCAAGTAAAACTACTTTTAAAGCTTTCTTCGCCAGCCGTCCTTAATTCTGATGTGATAGACTAGAGGGAAAGCAGCTAGCGAACACCACTCACCGTCAACTCTTCTCTGACTGAATAGTTGGATTTCACTGTCACTCTTATAATGCACCCATAATCCTAAAGTGTAGAGCACGAGTTTATATTTTGACGGTAACGAGGCACGAACGACGGAATCTCAGAGCCATTGTTCGGCACACTAACAATTGGGCTGTGCTCGCCCTGTATTTTGTTTTCATTCCTGAAAATGTTTCAGTCTTGAATTATATCTTCTTCTATGACAAAACATTAGGTAAACTTAGTTATGTTCAGTGAGTGTAACAGGCGATGACAAAATATTTCGGTAACTCAAGCCCTTGTTTATTGAGTATTATTGTTAAGTTTATAGAAATTAAACAATGTATATAAATAAAGGAATTTATTATTTATTGAACAGAAGATATATCTGATATATTTTCGCCAAAGTACTTAAAATGATCTTCCTGAAAATATATTGAAAAAGTTGTAATTTATAAAAACATTTATTTATTTGATCTCGACCAAGAATATTGTGAGCAAAAACTCTGACAAAAATAATATGATAGTTATTTATATTTTTCATAAGACAATAGTATTAGACTTATTGCATTTCTAAGCACTATGGGATGAGTGTATAGTAAAATTACAACCACACTGTGTCAGCCATATCCATTGCCCCAACGACGCGTTTTGCTCAATACAGAGAGCTCAGCTGGCCAGCTGGAATACAACAAACATTAATAGCAATCGGAACACTATCTATATGTGCCATTTGTTATACTAACTGTTGCTTTTGTGTGCCACAGCAGGATTATAATAAATTACATTTGTCATAAGACAATAGTTTTAGATCTATTGTATTTCTATACATCCTTTATTTGGTCCCTTAGGGTATTATACCAAGAATAGCGTATAATAGAATTTCAATGATACTATCTCAACTTTATTCATTGCAACGACTCATTTCACTCGATACTGGAGCATACCAAGAAGGCTGGTATACTAGTTGGCTTACATATATATATATAAAGTAGTGAGGCTATTTTACAAGTTACAGTGGACACAAGATGCACAAAACACGTGGAGCACATTAATAACCTGTATCCATACATTAAGGGCGAACTTGTAATACACTGGTTTGATCAGGAGTCTCAGGCTAAGATAGACAAGTAGGTGGACAAGGATGCTATCTCATGTCATATCGACACATCAGATGAGGGAGAAAGTACTTGTCTGGCTCTCAACAACAAGTAAATTAAGGACGGTTTCGAGTTAAAAGCAAAATACTGCTCTGACAATTGGCCACCTGATCAATGTGAGGAGAACTAGATGATCAATGAGGGTTAGGACAATCACTGATTAAAGGATTACTGATTAAAAGGTAGCAATCTGTGCTTTCCAAGCTATCAAGTGACATCTACAGTCAAATATATTCACTACATTATCTGATTTCCACTTGATTATCAACACTTAAGACGGTTTGTTGATCTTAAGATTAATAAGACAAAATGGGCTTATCCACCCTTGCTGTTGAGCAAAGTTTTACTAAAAGGAAGTATCTGTCAAATATTGGATTATATCTACTTGATTGAAAAAAGTTTAAAACAGTTGGAGCTAGTAGATATATTTGTTTGTTTGTTTTGGAATTTCGCGCAAAGCTACACGAGGGCTATCTGCGCTAGCCGTCCCTAATTTAGCAGTGT